GTTTTAGAACCTGGAGTGGATGAGTTGACCACTGCAGGGAGCGGGGGGATGGGGAGTGTTTGACCTAGGCGAGATGCGATCTGCAGAGAAGAACCTAGCGGTTTCGTTTCTTCCACCATCTGATCGGTGGTACCAAATTGAGGCAGCAAGTGAGGGATCAGGAACGTGGCCCTTCAAAATTTAGGGAGCTGATTATCCAACCAATCGCATACTGCTGGGCTACAGGAAATCTCCATAACTCCTTTTAAGGTCCACCCATAAAGTTCCTTTTTGCAGTTGACCCGATGGAAATGATCCTGCTATTGATGGCGAAAGATGGCGGATCGGTGCATCGGAAGGCGCATCTCGACGAAGCGGCCACCATCGTCGACTTCATCTACAACATGACGGTCACCCACGGAAACCGGAGCCTGGTCTACAAAAAGATGTGCTCGCCGTATTGCTTTGCCAACGAGCTTTTCGGGACGTTCAAGGTGAAGACGTTTTACCTGAAGCCACCAGCTTCTAACAACGGGGCTAGTTTGAGTCCATGCTGATCCTCCGCCTGCTGGTGCGGCTCTCCATCCAACTCATCCAATGTTACTCCTGCCTACAGGGTACCTTCATCTCTAAAAAACTGTCTGTTGAGTCAGGAGGGTATAGTATGCATACCCACATCTTCCAAAAATAAAACCTCTATCCTCACCGAAAACGGCTCCCTTTTCGCTTTTAAAAATTACAGACACAACCACTCGCTGTTGAAAATTGGTAGAAGACTGACTGACCAATTCTAGTAGTCGTTTATTGGCATTCCCTTTGATTCTTGGTTCCCTTAAATTTCAAATTCAAATCTTTCAGCACTACTACGATGTCAACTACAGATCGGCCACTAGGTCCGGTACATGGAGTGATTTGTTCAACCTGTCGTATCCGTTCGCTTCCATCTGGGGTTATCGGGTACCACTCGAGCAGTGCTTGTTCGGTGTAGTACTGACACAACCTAGCAAGACCAATTCTTCTTCTGGGACTAAGAAGGTATGTTTTAGTCCTCTGTTTTAGTTCTTGGGATTTGGTCTGTACGGCAATGCGTGTTGCGGAGTTGAAGCATCTGGTTTTGCGTACGGATGATTCCTGTTAAGCCTTCTCTCTGTTGTCCCGCCTAGGGTGAAAGTTTTGTTCACAACCCAGCATTCTGGAAAACCTTTTCTCTGTGAAACCTTTTCTTCCGGTGGTGCGTCTGAAACTGAGTTTAGAGGTGCGAGGTGGAACAACAGTGAAGAAAAAACGAAAGGAAAACGTCAAGGAGGCCTAATACGAGACCCCCCTCTCCATAAGTAGTGAAGGAGGCGGACGTAGCCGGTAGTCATGACCTGGACCTTATACGGCCGCTCGAGATTTTTTTTTTTGGGGAAAGGGCGCGCGTGGAACTCTGTACAGATGCGTACCAAATACAGGCATGACCGAAAGGTTGTTTGGTTCACTTCAGCCCGACCTTTCACCTTCAAACACAGTTCGCTAAACGCGACAAACAGGTGGTCTTATGGCAGAGTGCGGAGCATTTCCGCGTTCCTTCTTCGCTTGTCGATTGGCTTTACTGCGTTCTACTGCCCAGCCGCTCTGTGTTTCTGCACGTTACCGACATTTCAGGTGAAGCGGTTCATCTTTGACGAAGACATCCCGGTAGACCGCAGCAAGCCGTTGGAGTCTCAGATCACCAACATGCAGCACGGGTTTGTCCAGCGTGCAGGTGAGCGAGTCCCAGCGCTGTTGTCTGCTCCGTGGTGACCGCTTGGTTCTCCAGCTCGTTGTTCTCTTTCCGTACGGCTTCAAGAACACCACCGAGCTGCAAACAGGCTTCGCCCTCTGGGAACTGGGAATACACGAGTGGACCAAAAAAGGTACAACAAGGGACTGAATCAAAAAGAACTCGAAGATAGAAGTTCTTGTGGGTTTGCCGTTTTGTACTACCATAAAGCCCTCTCGGGATATGAACAGAACAAGAGAAATAAAGCTTGAGTCCTGAGGGAGTGAAGTTACATCAAGGCGCAATGTATGAGGAAATGGATGTGGGGGATACCATAAGATACGGGGGCGTTGCAGTAGCAATGCATTTGAAACTGCGTGAAACATTCCTTTTTGTTGAATATGACCCAGCATTAGGCAGTGGAGGGGAGACTCTAGGGTGCATGAGCAATTTTCGATTTCCCCGGCGTTCATGCCTCCTCCATGGCTTATTGTTAACCTGAAAGCCCCACATATTGCGATAGCCCCACAGCATGTGTAACGGGCACTCGGGTGGTAGTTGGTTTCCGAATGAGACGGTCCTGTCGCGAAGGATTATAGTATGATGACCGCGAGTTTCGGCTGAGAGGTGTTGAGGGATAACTCATAGTGGTTGGATAACACAGATGAGCGACGTATGCGATACCGGAGGAGGGACCAACTTAGCAAGCGGGAGCAAAAAAGAGGCGTATTTATGGCATCAGAAGTTCTCCAGGAGGTGCGACGAGGCCCATTTTCTTCCTCTGAAATAACTTGTTCTTTCGACTGTACAAATTTGTACTGCAAAAATGCCGTATGAATTTGAGAATGCAATCTTAGTGATCAAGCACTCAGCTATTTTGAGCCTTATTTGTTCACAGGCCTATGGAAACGAAATACTCGACATGGAGGTCAATGAAGACAATCGAAAAATGGCTCCTTATTTCGGAATTGGTACGTGTTCAGGGCGCGACCTGAGGGGCCCACTTGAACTAGTCCGTATAGCGATTGCACGCCATATGTGCACGCTGCAGACGGCGGACCAAAAATGCGCCCAGCTTGGAGCGAATCGGTCGAATCGGGCCGACTGCTATAGGGGTTCATGTTCAAGGAGAAGGGTTGCTGGTGTAATCTTATCCGAACTCAAAACCAACCCGGTTCTGCTGTACCCACAACATACCGCTAGGCTTAGAATCAGGTTATGCTTTGCGTGGGATATGAGCCTTTAGCCTTTATTGTCTGGATCTTTTCAGCCCAGAAGTGGTATGCGATTCTAAGATAGCATTGGGTGGCCCCCAGTAAAAAGGCATAAAACGTTGTGCTGACCGAACCTCCGTTCTGAGATCGCCACGCGTTCTACTCCAATTCAGAATCGTAGAGGCATGTAAGAGTCAGTGTTTCTATCCTTCCAGACAAGTCTGGTATCAACTAACCGACCCCGGAGGATGGAAGTTTGGTTGTTCCCGGATAGCGCATCAACCCCAGGATATTGGCCCAGGCGCGCAGGTGTGTTACGCGGCGCCCACTTGCTGCTACATCACTTCCACTCCCCCTTCTGATTCCGCCACAGTTTCGTAATTTTGAAATGTTTATGCCTGTACACTTTGAATGGGAAAAAAATAAATGGCTTTTTTCTGGGTCCCATTCGCTTTCTTTTTTCCAGGATTTGCTAGTATGCTGGCAATGGTGGTGATCTGTGTGCTGTCCATTTCGTACTACTATCAGGCACTGGACGTCGGCAAAATGTGAGTGAACTGTAAACCCTTGATAAGACTCGAAGGAACTCTGCCAATGATTGTCTAACTATGAAGTGCAACGGGTCAAAGAGGGATTGTTTGGCAACTAGAGAAAAAATTCACCCTGGACAATCTAGTATGTTTTGCAGTCTAATTGGCCTCTGTGCGACACTTTGCCCACTCTTGGGCATCACATCCACTTATGGCCTCCTGGCTCTGTGTGAGTACGCAGTAATTCAGCCTGGGCTTCTTGTGATGCCGTTCTATAATGGGAGTCGTGAGTTCTGACATTGGACACGAATACAAGTATGTTATTGTTCGCTTTCTTTGAAAGCGCGCCATAACATTTTTACCTTTCATGTGAAAAATGCATGCAGCGTTGGTTTTACCAGGGCTTTTCTCCGAAAAGGTAACGTACTTTGATGAAGTGGTAAATGATAGGCAACATCAAATTAAAAAGGTACCGAAACTCAGCGCCGCTCTACGCCGATCTGGCGCTCTCCACGGCCGAAGCCAAATGAAGCGCTGCATCTAGTCCGACCCACACAGGGTAATGGAATTAGGCGCTATCCCAATATACGGGGCGTGCTCAAGGACCAAGCTCAGGAGGGGGCAGGAATTCCCGGGTGAATGAATGGCTGACGCACCGTGGGGCCTCCCCTTCCTTCTCAAGGCTTAGTCCATTTCAACAAAATGGAAATGTTATTCGCGATTAGAAGTGCATTCCCACAACGATGCCCCCGTATCTTTTGTTCCGATTTCGGCGCCTAGAATTATTTGGAATTTCGGTGACACCGCCCTGAGGTATCACCTCAAATCACTGTCAATCAAAGTATGTCCTTCAAATGTTCATGCGATGCTGAGAGGAACTTGAATGTATGGCGCAAATTGCCCATCACGGGGAATGGGGGGGGGGGTGAAGAGAGGACAGTGACAGCTCACATATCTAGTGCACCAGCCAATTTGAGGAGAATTCAGGGGTCGATGCGCTGTTTTTAATGATGTACTCGTGGCAGAAGATGATCGAATTCGGCTATACACCAAATCGAAAGACTGGTGAATATTTTAGCTTTACTACAGGAATGCAATAAAGCACGTGCATATTTTTTTTTTCGAAAATGCAATTGCGAGTCGAAGATTTGTTAAACGATCGCCTGCGCACCACTATATCCCTTCATGAGAGCAGTTCTAATAATAATTGAAGCATTTGAATTTAGGTCAACCAAGATCAAAATTGAAAGTTCCGATGCTAATCGTAAGAAGTGACAAGGTGGAGCAGTGGAGCCGTCTCCTCGCCGAGCGTACCCGGCTGAGTCACGCTCATAAACTCCCTCGCTTTCACTCAGCTCCAAGAGCGCAGTCGAATGTCATGCGCGCGGTGCAGGCAGCTCTGACCAGGACAAGATAAAAGCAGTGAGCCTTGTTGTTGAGGGCATGTAAGTAAAGTGGGAGGTCACCGAATTACTGCATGGCTGGGCATAGGCGTTGGAAGGTCAGCAGGCCGGCTGCGGCATGGTGGCGGAGTTCGGAGGGAGAGGCAGCCCATTAAAAATCACGGAAAGGTGGACGCCCATACAGGGCAAAGAAGAAAACAGGGAAAGCGGCCTAAAACTCGAGGACTACCCCTTCATCATCCGTTCACTTCCTTGAAGCCCACCAAAACATATCAATGCACAAGTCCTCAGCGTTATATTTGCGTTCAGTTCCACCAGGTCAGGCGCCCCAAAAATTCAGACAACACTCATTTGCTTCTAGCAAGCCTAAGACTAAGGTTCGCTGAATAATGAACAAATCCGGACCGAAAAATTAGGTTAAAAAGTTAGAGTGCAGTGGGCTTCAGCAAACTCCAAGCCTGTTGTAAACCTATTCAGTCACAGCTAAAGCATGTCTTCCGCCAAGTAAGCTTAAGTTGTTCAGGGATGGTTCTCGAGGAATGCGGTCCAAGTATCACCATCACCTCCGTGACGAACGTGCTCGCGTTTGGGATCGGAGCCATCACTCCCACGCCAGGTTCGTCCAACTGCTTTTTGGCGCTGGTTAGCCCTGGCCGATCTGGTCAGCTGACCAATCTTAAGTTCTGCTACTTTGAGAGTTTGCTCATTTCGCTGAATTCCTTCGCGGACCTTGCAGAAGTGCGTCTGTTCTGCGTGGGATCCGCTGTGGCGATCTTTCTGACGTATGTCTACCAACTGATTTTATTCGGACCGGCTCTCGCGATCGCAACAACCTACGAGAGACCCTACAAACTTGAAGAGGAGGGTAAGGCAACCGGCTGCAGAGCACTGGTAGGTTCCACTCACTGCGACAACCACACACCTCTCAGGAAGAATGTGCCCATTTCAGATCAACGCGATCTTTCTGACGTTACTTCGTGCTCACTGCGGGTTCCTCGGTCGGGTTGAGGTGGCGATTGTCGTCTTCATAATGACCGTCGTCTACTTGGGTTTGGGAATTCAAGGACTGATGACCATGAATGTGCGCTTGGATTCGGAAAAAATTCTGCCAAAAGATTCCGAGCTTCACAAGCCGAACACACTTCTCATGGATTACGGTATGTCCCTTTAGTCCCGGTTCTGTCCATCTGTTTCGGAACTTTGCCAGGAACATTGCTGTGTTTCAGTTTGGCAGGAGCATCTCTCGCCGATCTTCCTAGTCAACAGTCGCTTCAACCTGACCGACACCAAATTGACCGCTCAGTTCTGGGACGTGCTCAAAGAGCTTGAAACTCTACCTCGTTGCAAAGGTACGCTGGCAGGTTGCGCCTTGTAGCGTTCAGTTCCTGCCGCCCACCTGTTAGTACGACCCTTCACGAAAAATGGCAGCCTCCAAGGGTGCTGGTCACAGTGTTGTAGTGGTCCGGGCGAAAAGGTCCTAGACAGAGGGGGAGTGGGCTTGAAGGAGCACCGTTGTGTACCTCAGAAAGTGTTAAACTAGCGGGTGTTTCTCAACAAAACCCTATCGAAGGCGTTCGGGGACCTGCACGGGCTACGGGTCCACGTAGTCCTGCCTTTTTGATTACTTTGCAAAAATAACCCTGATCCATGCTGACCCTCCACTCTCCTCCTGTGGAGCTCCAAGTATGGACAGATCCTGCTTCTCATCATTCCACCCTCTATTTCCACTTCTCCACTCCAGCTCCGTGTGAATCATCGCCCTA